ACTTATATTTCTCTCTAAATCAATCATATCTATCATGGCCACCTGACGATTTCTACTCAACCAATTAGTTGTTATCTGCCACTGTTCTAAATCTGATACAAATGGACATGGTCTATTAATGCTGATCAAGGTTTCATTATCCAGATTCTTCAACTTCGTCTCAACATACTGTTTTACCAGCATATACATTGGTCCCAGATAATAGTAATTACACATCATTCTATCAAATCCGCTGGCATCAAATCCATAAATATCATAACCATCTCTATCAAATCCATATTTATCAAATCCAAACTTATTATATCCATAGTCGTCAAATATCTTTACTTGAGATATAACTCTATCCATTTTACTTGAACCATTTCTATTGAGACCAAATGAGTTGAAGCCATTTTTGTCAAATCCATACCTATCATAGCCTTGACGATCATACCCCTCTGCATTATATCCATCCAGATTATAAGAATCCACATAAAATCCATAGCGATCAAATCCGCTACTGTCGTATCCATCTCTACCATAACCCTGGTTATTGTAACCCTGGTCAATGTATATACTTTTAGTGTCTACCTCACCATTAGCATTTAGACCAGTGACGTCGTACCCATCTCTGTCAAAACCGACTTGATTAAACCCATGTCTATCGTAGCCCTCTTCATCGTAACCATAATGACGGATTTCAGTTATATTACAATCTGTACCTTTTGTTATAGGCACATACTCTACACACATCTGTAACCTTGACTCCATGACTTCATCAGGGGTTGATTTAAACGGCACCATGGGAATGAACAGTGAACTACGAGGATATCGTAACAAACCATTGTCATATTTCATCTGCCAATCATTCCAGAGTTTATCAATGTACGCCATGAGTGAGAAGTATAATGGATCATAGGGTGCATATTCGCTACTCATATGGCCGCCCACAAATCCCTGATACAATTTTGCAAATATTTCCATACGGATTCTGAAACGCTCGTATGTTGGTTCATTCATGGCTAACTGAACATGAACAGCATCTGGTAAGCTTACACTGGAGTTAAACTGACGTCGTAAACATGGAGACCAATATGGAGGATAATAGTCTTTAAATGGATGATATCTTACACAACCTGTCACGCCCATACCATTTCCACCAAACATATTGGCTGCCCAAATTATAGATTTAGCAGGTTTACCAGCATCAACTGTCCAATCATAATAAGGAATAGAAACTCTGCAATCATTATCCTGCAGGTGTCTTTCAACCAGACGCAAGAAATATCGGTTCCAGGGTAAAAAGGAATTGGTTCCCACAGCTTGCGGTTTATGGTTAGCGTATGTGGATGCTATTTCAAACCATTTATTGGTTGGTTTATCATTTCTTGTCAATTGCAATGAACGAATGGCTCTTTGATACTTTTCCATTTCATCTTCTCTCATATCTCGAACCTCAATTCTTTTCACTGACATCTCACACTGGCATGACACGGTTCCTGTTACTGAACATCTACAAGTCTGGCATCCTACCACAAATGTTTCACCTATACTATAAGTTTTATTATCGTATGTACAACCGCACATATCTTCACATTTTGCTTCTTCACATTGTTTTCCAAATGAATATTTCACAACCTCTGTCTCTCCATCTTCTTCAAGACCTTGACATCTGTCTAAGGTCATAGAACGACACATATATTTATAAGCCGCTGTAGTCCTGTACACATTTAAACCAAGACGATTATGGCCCAAGCATGAAAATCCTGCTCTGAAATAACATAAAATAAAACTTGGTGAAAATAGTTATTACAATTATATGTACGCAGAGATGTATAAGCTTAGACTGAGCTGCATTAAAAAATCTGTTTTAGTTTCAATGAATTTGTAAACCTAAAATAAAGCTCTATCATATACATAAAACACATTTCTTAAGCCTGTTTCAATAATTTTGTTTCATTGCATCTGTTGAGAGATTACATATATGTTCTACAAAAAGACACTTATATCAAGCATCACAAAATTGGTCATCAATAAGTTATACAAATTATTGTCCAATTTACCAATATTTATGTTATGCTTAACAGTTGTCCCATCAGGAAATATATATATATATACAACTATGGGCTTATGAGAGTTGATTTTTGGGAACTGTATCATGTGTTTCTATCTTTGATTTCATATAAATGAACATTACCTATTAAATCCATCCATATCAAATCCAGTTGTATCATAATCTATGATACCATCATATTCTCCCAATCTACTGAAACCTGTAGCATTAAAACCTTCTCTATCATAACCTAACCGATTATAACCAAATCTATCATAACCTTCTAAATCATAACCATTACGATCATAACCTAAAAAAAAAATATATTTCTAAATATACTGTCTAAAATTCTGGGATTAAGGTAAAGCAGTGAAACAAAAATAACAGTGGATTCTAAATCTCTGTTAGTTTCTATATTTAATTATATTATTCTAATTGATATACATAAATTTAAAGAAGACAACATCTTGAGGAATTTCAAGTGTGGTTTCTAACCTTGCCAATCTAATCCACCTTGTGTAAATCTCTCTCTTCCAATCTCAGTTCCTGTTTCTATAGTTACTCGATCACCTGCTATGTTTATTCCAGCAATACTGTAGCCATACCTATTAAATGAATTTTAATCATGAAAATCTAACCATGCATGTCTAAAATAATAATTTAATAAAACACTTTAAAAATATTTCTATACACAATTACAACATAAATATGTAAACTGCTGATGGCTTTAATTTCATCTGGCTCCATTTTCGTTTTCTAATGTAGGTGATAATAATTACCTATCATATCCTTGAAGACTGTATCCAATTATCTTTTTCTTAAAAGCAGGTTCTCGATAGCAACATGCTCCAATCATACATCTATTCTGACAAGCATCAATTGAATTAAAATTATTAGCATTTCCATGACAACCAGTGTAAATAAACTCTTCACACTTCAGAGACCTGTAGTTAAAATGCCACCTTGTTTCACGTTCACTACATTTTCCTTTAAAACAGAAAATTAAGAGCTTATTTTTAAATAAATAAAAGTATTAAATATCTTTCAAATATCAAATAATTTAATTTTCGTTATGTTAGTGTAGTAGGGTGGTATATTCTCTTTAACTATTTTAGTAGGGTGTTATATTCTCTTTAAATATTTTAGTCAGTTTCCATTGTCCTGTGTATTAAGCTAGCCTTGTATTTCCAGTGGTTATAATTACTGTAGTTTATAGTTTAAAGATGCGATTGTAAGATAGTGAGTAGATTTAAGTGTCTTAGAAACTTGCTTTGTTTATCCTAGTTACTAACTTTACTCTTTTATTTTCTGGTCAACTGTCAACATCTCTACTTAATTACAGCACAATTAATCATTAATTTCAAGGTAGGTTTAATATTTGTTTGACTGGACTAGACATTTTAAACTATATAAGTAATGCTAAACCAGTAAATTATTTACTAGCAAATTAATATATATATATATATATAGAAACTAGGTAACTTTATTTCATAAGTAAACATTGATTAAATATATTATCCCCTGTGTAATGTCTTGTTAATTGTAGTGTTTAATTATTTTATAGTGTTCCCAATTGTGTTTTCTTACAACTATATAGGCATCTTTATTTTTCTGAAAAGCACCTGTCTTAGGGTATGTTTGATATCTATTTTTATATCTTTGTCATAACGGATTAAATGTAAATAGATAGTCTTGATATTTTAATACATATAATATAGTACTTATATTATAACTTGCTTCCTGATCTATTAGAAATTATTAGAATATATACATCATTTAATAATTCACTTGTGTAAATAATCATTTTGTATCTTTTCAGTGTTTTTGTTGTTCTGTAAAGTATATATATTGTCTCGTAATAAACTGTTGTTGTTAATTGGTCTCAACTGTTATGTGCAACCCCGACCTGGAGTCGATCATGCGATCCTCCTGCTACATTAGATTTGATAAATTATTCCGATAAAAGATTGTCCTACTGATTCTGTTTCATTTTTCCAGATAACATTGTTGAGATGTATACTTTGCACTCTACTTTCACTATTTAGATAACTGAATTCTTAAATTGTGTGATATGATAGTACCCAAAAGCATTTTTCCCCATCCACGACAAAAGTTAGATTAGCTATAACATTTCTAATTTTTATCAGTTAGGCAAAAGGATCATTTAACCTGTTCTCAAAACGAATCCTATAACTGGCCTTGAAAGCCATTACAAAAGTTTACCCAGGGTCCCAGGTTATCTACCATATTACTTTGGTAACTTCTTCCTTTCTGAACAACCATTTTTTTAATCTTTAAATGGTGTTTAGTAACTGGATAGAGTAAAAACAAAAACACATACTTATGGAAATCAGCTACTACAGTATTTAAGGCGACATTACGAAGAGTATTCTCTCAAAGTTATCAAGCTTACTATAATTAGATATTTTCCGTAAGTATGTGTTTTTGTTTTTAACCATTTTTTGCTAAAATTCTATGATGGACAACCGAATATCCCCAAATAAACATGTACCTGTATCTACAGGTAAACTGCAGATATCTACAGCTAAATACTGACATAGATGACCATCATATCCTGGTGGACAAATACATGTTATTAAAGATGGTTCTTCTGGCCATATAGATGGTCTACATTCACCACCATGTTTACATGGATTAGGCTTACAATAATCTGAAATAATCAATACAATAAGGTTATATTTTCAACATCTTATTTTGTACATCATATATCTTTTTATTTCTTTCAAGCTAAGCATAGGAATTCATAAATTTAGTTTTTTTTATCCAAATAACATCTGCAAATAATCTTTGTGTGGCATTTAGTTGTTGAGTACAATAAATACATAACACAATTTATATGGAAAACAATCACTGATTTGTACACATATAGCTCGATGTTTCGACAAGTGTTCTGTTATTGTACCATAGCTTGTTTCGTCAAGGGGGGGGTTGGATGGCCGAATGGTTAGCATGTGCGCGCTGTATCATAAGACCTGTCATTGAGTCAACTGACGTGGTTTCGAATCCCCGGTTGTACGTGACAAGGAGTAGGGTTGCCTGTCCAACCTCGTGGGTTTTCTTTGGGTCCTCCGGTTTCTTCCCACTGCTAAAGACCCCTACACGCAAGCGAATTATTGAAATAAAATTAAACCATGTTAGTCCCAAAATGACCTAGTTTGTGTCGAGTGGACGTTAAACCCCATTTCTCTCTCTCTCTCTTGTTTCCTCAAGTTTCTTTAAATCTTTTGAAACTTACCTCTTTCTGAGTGACAATCAACTTCCATATTATTGAAATACCAGGTGGCCTTACAATCACCACAGTAACCAAAGTGGCAGACAGCTTCAGGATATGCAGGACACAGTCCCGTTAAACAAGGGTTTTCTGTGCATGTTGTACTCGTACTTTCACAAGCACATGGTGATAATAACGGCTCTGCTTCTATACAAAACCTACTAGATGGCAGGGACTGAGTTGGTGAAAATTTGGCTGGTACCATAGCTAAAAGAACAATTGATTGTAGTCATAAGTAATGAGTTTATTCTGAAATATACTCACAAATTAAATATAATATCTCATCAGTATTGTGCATGCAGTGGCAGAGCATGACTTAGACTTTTTTTCTAAAATATTTTGCATGCAGGAGACTTCAGCTTATAATGCAAACGTTTATTTTTCTTCTGATATATTTTCAATCCTAAAATAATATTTTTCAGTGATGTTTAGGATTGCGGCCAAGGTATCAGGTGTGTGTTGTAATATATTGGCATTGTGAAGATGGTTTTAATGATTTCTTTCAAGTTTTCTTACTTGTAACATCTTTAATCTGTGTCACCCAGAACTGATCATACCACAAGTTAGGTACAGGATCTAGAGGCTCACAAGTTCTATGTAACGTCATTAAAAATCCTTTGGCTTGATTTCCTAATGCCTCCATTATTACAAAAGAATGTATAAGACTAAAAGGACCATTAAACATAGCATTACAACTGTTCAAATCATAGCCATTTATATCAAAACCAAACTTGTCTCTTCCTAATCGAGATAAACCTGGAAAAAAGTAATAATAACATGGTTAAAGAGTGAATCAAAAATCTTTCATAAAAAAATTAATCTACTCCTCATTATTTAAATATTTATCAAAATATAAATCTTTCATTGGGGAAGAAGAAGGATTCATTAATAAATAGGTTTCTTTTTCATACCATCCCAATGACTAGATGTTGTTCCTTACCATGCCCTCCGTCCTACACCACTGACAAAGGTAAACAAAATGCTGGAATATCCCAAGGAACTTTCTCAGTGAACACCAGGACCGAACCCGAGACCTCCTGATTAGCAAATCAGCACCCTAGCCACTAAGCCAGCCTATGTTCACCGTCATATTAAATATTAAGATAGTATCAAGTATCCAAATTTATGGCAAATTCTCTTGAATAAATGACAAACATTATTTTTAATATAAACAACTCAAACACAAAAATGGTAGATGCTATTGTTTATTTGTTGATTTCTCGAAGGCCTACGACAATGTTCGACATGATATTTTGAAATTTGTTTTATTAAAGAATAATGTGAAAGGGAATTTTTTCCAAGTAATTAACTCCATGTATTCTCAGCTAAAGTCCTGTGTCAAGTCAGATCAACTGACTTTGTCAAAGTACTACGGGAATAAGACAAGGGGGTATGATTAACCCATTCCTTTTTACATTATTCTTGAATGATTTACTGAAAATGTTGCAAAAAAATGATTGTTCAGGAATTTCTGTTAATAATAATGTCCTAAATATTTCAGCCTTAATGTACGCTGATGACATACCATCAGGTACAGATACAGTCAGGAGGTTACAAAAGCAAATTAATTGTATTTCTATTACGGTATGAAAATTAACTTAAGTAAAACAAAAGTGGTATTATGAAGGAGAGACAATCGAGGCTGTCTCAGCATATAAATATTTAGGTCTTCTATTTACCCCTAAATTAGTTTGGTATAGCACCTGCTCTCATCTAGCCCAACAAGGAACAAAAGCTATGAATATGCTTTATAAATTTAGCTGTAAATTCAATTTAACAACAGAGAAATCCCTCTTTTTGTTTGATACGATGGTAACATCCCTTCTTACATATGGTTCTGAAGTATGGGGTTATGTTGAGTATCCAAATATTGAACAAGTGCACCTTAAATTTTATAAGAGACTTCTACATGTCAACTCAACCACACCCTCAGCAAAGCAGGGAGGCACCCTATTCATAAGTATAAAATGATTAAATATTGGCTCAAAATAACAAGGATGTCTGTCGATAGACACCCTAACACATGGTTTAAACTTCTATACAATTCGCATTGTATAGGTCGCACAACGTGGGCGATACATATCGAAATGTCTCTAGATAAGTTGGGACTGCAACATGCCTTGGTAGACCAAAGTGTTGGTATCATTTCCTGTTTTTTAAGCTTAGTTAAGAGTCGTTTAATCAGTATTAATGAATAAACTTGGATAGAAAATTTGGAGGCATCTGAAAAACACTACTTGTATAAGAAGTATAAGTCTAGTTTAGTATTTGAAAATTAGTTGTATCAATACCAGGGGAGGAAGACACATTGTCTCAGGAACCTGGCAAACCCCCTCCTGCAAAAATTCCTGGATCCGCTCCTGCTTACCTTGTCTATCTAAACAATTCATATCATAACCATCATCACTATATCTATCTGATGTATCTTGGTTACCATTTCTATCAACACCATCTATATTATAGCCATATTGATCATAACCTTCTCTATCTTTACCATATCTATTGTAACCATAACTATCATAACCTTCACGATCATAACCATCTCTATTAAAACCTGACATAAAATATAACAATGATTATCTCTTTAAGTAATTTATCATCTTGTTTGTGAAAGTCTTTTTCAAAATGATGTTACATTTGTAGATTTCCATTCAAGGAAGAAAGGGATAAAAAGAAATTTTACATTTACTTCAAGCCACTGATTGTCATTTGAATGATTTTGAATCCCATGCTGACTACAATAGATCGACAGTTGAATGTCAAAAAAAAATATCAGTGCAAAATTGTTCAATTCAATCAAGTATTTTTTACACTGCAGATGATATACTTGTTTATTAGTCATGGAGATTATTAACCTTTGATGTGTCAGTTTTGTTTTTTTAATTGAATTTTAAATTATCAATTTCAGTACATTTTAGCATGGATCAAGCCATGGAAAATAAGATATTGCCAAAAAATATAATGGAACCTCCAGGTTACCAATCCAGTGTCTTACTCACTAAGCCAGTGCATCTCCCCTCCATAAAACAATAATCATAATAGTGCTGTACATTTATGAGAAATACCTAATTTGCATAATTTCCTATTCAATATCTATAGATATTTAAACTGAGAGATTAAACTTTCTTACCATCTGGTCTGAATCCATATCTATTGAATCTAAGTAGATCATTATCTTCTATATTATAACCAAATTGATTATATCTATTGATAGTATCAACTACTTCTGGACTCTGATCTCCTCTCTGTACTCCTGGGCTTCCTGGAAGTGTTGGCACCGTAACATTACACATACCACCCTTTGATGGTAATGCATAAGTTACACATAATGCCTCAGAATCCAATGCGTCTGATGGTGGAATATTAAATGGAATCATTGGAATATTACCAAAAACAACTGGATATTTAAATTTGTTATCATGTCGTTTCTGCCATGACCAATATAACATATCAATATAAGCATGGATGGCATAGAAAACTGGATCATACGGACTTGATGATGTAGCCATGTCTCCACCAATATAATTATGAACATAAGCAGCATAGGTTTCAAGGCATAAGCTCATTTCTGTGTAGTCTTCAGATGCAATGGCCAATGCAATTTCAACAGCAGTTGGTAGCTTAACACTTACATTGAAATTTCTCATAATACATGGCCTCCATGGTTTTGAACCACCGAATGGGTGATCTGTAACACATCCACTTTGACTATTACCATCTCCACCAAAATAATCTGTCTGCCAGATTACAGCATTGCTAAAATCACCAACATCAGTCGAGAAATCTACATAAGGTAAAACAACATTACAGTCTATTTCCCGTAACTTCTGCTCCAAACGGCGTAAGAAGAGTCGATGCCATGGTAAATAGAATTGCCCGCCGTTAGAATGCATGCCATGTTTCATATATAAATCTCTGTATTCTTCCCAGATACTCACATCACCAAAACCTCTTAACTGTATGACAGCATTTTGAAATCTGACCAGTTCTTCTCTAGTCATATCTCTTATTTCCTTTCTTACTGTCATCTGTTCACAACTAAAATAAAAACATCAAAATAAAAACAATGTCATATAGTGATAAACTCTGTAATTGTGTATCCATAAAATTGTACCATGTGTAAATAAGTTCAATTACTAAATGCTATGAAAGAAGTTGTAAAATATTAAATTATTACATGTATATGCATCCTATCTATGCTAAAGATCAAAAGTAAAATAAGTTAGTATTAATTGTAAGTCATAATCAAGAGATACACTACATATGTACTACATATGATGAGCTGCTCCTCAGATGATCATAAGCCAAACTATTACCTTTACATTATACTTTTCTTTTTCAGACAAAAGAACAGAGAAACTCCAAAGAAACTGAACTTCTTACTCATGGTTTTAAATTGCAATATATGTTAAACATTGTATAAAATCCAAGACATTATAACAATGTAGATTTGGAAAGCTACAATTTCTCTACAATTTTTCTACAAAATAATGCAATTCAGAGAGATATGAAATTTTTGCATTTTCGATTGCCATCATATCAATTTTACTTCGTTAGCCAGACAAGTACTATTTTGATAATAAATTTGCTTCTAAATTTGAATGTTTCATGATTAAAATTGTTTCATGATTAAAATTGTTTCATGATTAAAATTGTTTCTAAAATAAAACATGTTTTAATAAGTTTTTTGTATTTACCTGCATTGTAATCCACCACCATTAAGACACGTACAAGACTGACAGCCTAATCTTAATGCATCTCCTACTTTATAATCTTTAGTACAACCAGTATCTGTTAAACAACCAGCTTCTTCACATGTCATACCAGGTGTAAAACTTATAACTTCAGATTCACTATCACCATGTGGCTGCCTGTGTAGAGCTTGACATTCAGAGAAATGCAAGGACTGAAAACAGATTCAAGTTATGTGACTTCTTAAAATGTGAAAAATCATTGTCTCTGATAACCAATGTGAAATGATATTAGGTGCCTTTTATACGCATATAAATGGTGAAATTTTGTTCATATTTGAAGATTTAATGGCAATTATTTTCTATTCTACAAGAATTTTCAAGGATTCAGTTTGTAAGAATCTGCACACATATCAGATTCTGATATTCTCAAAAGCGTGTTTTTACAGTTGCTTCTAAATTTGAATGTTTCATGATTATTCTAAAATTGTTTCTAATATAAAACATGTTTTAATAAGTTTTGACTTTGAAGCTGACTAGAAAAGAAAACAGTACACATATAATGTACAAGGTTTCCGAAAAACAAATCTTCTACTCTACCTGGCATTCAACTTGAAGACGATGTGAGCCTTGTGCTATATCACTGACTATTGTTGAATATGTTCTGAAACAACAGGCTCCTTTCATTGTCATTCCTTCACAATCAGTTTCTGTTACAAAATTATTAGGATTTCCACCACATCCTTGAATACAAAGAGAATATAATATGACTACTGTGGTTGGTAATATAACCAGGAAATTATGGGGTGGAGGTGGGGGTGGGGATCGTGGGTGGGGGGCAGCATATGCAAAATATATGTTCCTATTACTACCATCTATTAGAATGGACAAGATTGGTTTCAGATATTAATTCATCTATATACATACAGAATAAGATAATTGATGAAATTAGATTTAATTGATGCCACAATAATAATCAAATGGTATGTAAAAGAAATCTTTTGGTGATTTGTAACTGATTTGGAAGATATTCCTACAACTATGAGTATTACCTGTAAAATTAAATGGTAAACAATGTTGAGTATGTTTATCGTAGAAATATCTGGGTATAGTTTCACTACAGGTTCCTGCATCTGGTGGAAAACTACAAGGATTGCGTCTGATCTGACAAGTACTACCATCATATGGAGGATGACACTGACAGGAAAATTCAGTTTTATCACTGATATTAACATCTACACACTGACCATTATTAGAACATGGACTACTTATACATGGTGCTGAAAAAAAAATATTGAGAGACTTTTAAAATGATATTGTAACAAGCCAACAGCAGTGCCTAAAATAAGGTTTATTTTTTGTAGCACGGATTCGGTGTCTGACCGACCGCTAGCGCCGGTGGGGAAAATTCCGAGCTGTGGACTAGTCTGGCACAGTTTACATCAGAGTTTATGTGACTATGCGCAGGTTTTTTTTCGCATGAAAACTCAGCACTAGGAAGATAACACACCACCTTTGTTACGATAATATTTGAATTATAATTCAAATTCTATCATAACATCAACATCAAAACTCAAATTCTATCAGAGAGAGAGAGAGAAATGGGCTTTAACGTCCACTCGACACAAACTAGGTAATTTCGGGACTAACATATGGTTTAATTTTATTTCAATAATTCGCATGCGCGTAGGGGTTTTTAGCAGTGGGAGGAAACCGGAGGACCCAGAGAAAACCCACGAGGTTGGACAGGCGACCCTACTCCTTGTCACGTACAACTAGGGAATCGACAAATTCTATCAGTAACAAGGGTACACAATAAAAGAAAAATCTGATTATTGTCTTCTAAAGTCTTTTTAGGGGAAGAATCCATTAGGGGTTAGAAGCATCGCTACATTACACTTTTTCAGAGCACTACACCATTTTTTTTTTCTTATTTTCGAAGCACGGATTTTTCATTTCGAAGCACATTCGTGCTCCAAGGCACGTTATTTTAGGCCCTGGCCAACAGTGAGGCTGATGTCCCCCGCCAAAATCCCAAAATAAATAGATGACACATAAATTAATAGCACATTTATTTTTTTTAAAAGTATCAAGCAATCAAACTGATTATCAACTATACACTAAGTTTCATCACTCTCTATCAGATGGAATCAAAGTTATCTTGTCCCAAAGCATCGACCAATGAAATTGCTTAGCTCTGCTTAGCTTTAGCTCAAAATGTTAATCATTGAACTCAGTCAAGATATTCAACTAATGAACATCTACATCAAGTTTAAACATTCTACCTCAATTAAAAGGAGAGTTGTTATGTTCCAAAGCCTTGACCAATCAAATTGCTTATCGCTCCTTACCCTAAGCAGAAAATTCTCATCATCGAACTTAGTGAAGGTAATGATATAATGAATCTATACTCTGAGTTTCATCACTCTCACTTAATTAAAACTAAAGTTATCGTGCCCCAAAGCATCAATCAATCAGATTGCTTATCTCTGCTTACTGTAAGCGGACTTATCATTAAACTCCATCAAGGCATTCATCTAATAAACGCCTACACCAAGTTTGAACATTCTATATCAATTAGAAGGAGAGTTATTGTGTTCCAAAGTCTTGACCAATAAAATTGCTTATCGCTCTGTTTACCCTGAGCAGAAAATGCTCATCATGGAACTTAGTCAAGTTATTGATGTGATAAAACTATACACCAAGTGTCCTCACTCTCACTTAATTAGAACTAAAGTTATCGTGTCCCAAAGCATCAACCAAACAAATTGGTTATCTCTGCTTACCATAAGCAGAAAATTCTCATCTTCGATCTCCATCAACACCTACGCCAAGTATGGACATTCTAGCTCAATTAGAAGGAGAGTTATTGTGTTCCAAAAAGTGTGACGGACAGACGGACGCACAGACAGATAGACGGCAGAAACCATTTTAATAGTCCCCTGCTTTCTTCGAAAGGCGGGGGACAAAAAGCCCTTGCTTTAATAGATTCTTTAATGATCTATAGAAAATCAAATCCAGGCTCCAGATCCTATGACATAAAGCTGCTGACAGTGGCTCACAGGCACATCTGATGGAAAAGCTGAGACACTATGAGGGGCTCATAGTAGCGAAACAGTTAAAACAGTTATCCAACTTCAAACTTTTATGATGTATTCTAAAAGATTTTGGTATGTTTTTGTAAAATTCTTGCATTGAAAAATTATTTCATTGCTCTGCAATTGTTGGAATTTTATAAATTAATAGGAACAGACTGACTTACTTGCACAACTAGGAATATCTAACCGTCTGCTACATGATGGTCGCCCTCTCTGAAATGATACATTTTACATTTGAATCTAAATTACACAAATTTTGTGAAAATATGAGAACTTATCAAACAGATTTTTCTAATCTGAAATATCTGTCAGTTTGTAATGGTGTAGTGGTTCTTTATGCAAAAGACTCCAGTTACATATCTATTTTGCTCCCTGTTTTCATTTGGAACCTTCTTTGTAATAGTTTCCTTACTATTATTATTAGGTCTACTTTCATGTCGGTCTGTTGAGAACTATATTCTACATTGTTATAATTGCTTTAATTTTACTTTCAAAATATCAAATTGTACTTTCAAAATATCAAATTGTAACTTAAAAAAATGGAAACATTAACCAAAGAACCTTTACCTCACACGTACACACAGTACATAGTTCAGGTGTCCACACTCTACCTTCTTCTATTATACTTCCATTATATGTACAAGAAGGTCGACATTCACACGTTTCTAAATATTCTACCCTAGTTGTTAATCCAACATTCTTAAAAAAATAATAAATATATAGCTACAACAATGATCAACCAGGCATTTGATGAAAGATGAGTTATCATCAAACATTAAACTTCTTCATCAATCAGTAACCAAGAATCGTAATGTTTATCATGCATGTATTTAATAATTTTATATATTTTTGTATGTACTAAATAGATCTAGCAATGGTTTAAGGCGTATTCCTACAGTAATCCCCCAAGGTGTCCATCAGGGTTATTAATCCATTTTGAAACGAACTGGCCAGAATTGGGTCAAATTGGTTAAAATTTTAAGCTTCCATTCCCTTTAATATAACCAGATTTTAACAAAAATAATTCTTGGTAATTTGTTATGAGGAATATAGTATTCTATTGCATGTAATTAGCACAAAAATAACGACAAATAGGAACATCGTTCATAAAATTTTCCATATTTAAAGGGACAATAACCTTCTTGCTGGCTTGAAAGCTCCAGAAAATAAATAATATCTCTATCTAAGTACTAGATGTTTAAGTGTCCTACCTGTTGTGTAAATTATCTATTACATCCTATTTTACTTGACCAGAGGGTTCGAATATTTTTAAATCGAAGTTTCATTTGAAAAGGTTTACGTTAGACGTTTCAAACCATGATGTTGAATATTTCAAAATTTTTAAATAAGGTGTGTTAAGATGAAATTTGTATCATCAATTAATTGAAATATTCTAAAATAGTACAATTTGTTGACCAGAATAAAGATTGGGACATATTATTCAGTTACAACAAGAGTGGTATTGAGCCTTTATTCATGTACCGGCTTGAAATTCATGTCCGCAATATTCCTGAATAAATTACTGTATTCTTTTTTTTCGTCGGATATAAGCTGATACGGCACCATGGTATTTCTTCATAACACTGTCCATCTAGCCAAATTACTCTTGGACAATTGAGAATCTAGTTGGATATGTCCGATCATTTAGGAGTCAAATAAAGTCCCTGGTTGTGTATGTATGTTGATGGTATCTTGTGAATGTTGGTATAGTGTATAACTCACACCATACAGAATTTGGGTATCTTGTGTAGCTAGAATGGCACACATTGGCAAGAAGTTTGTAAATGGAACCAAAAAGGAATAAAAAAGGTCTTACCTGTGTTTTTAACATGTCAACCATAACAACTAATTGTGTAATCTGTTGTTCTAATAATAAAACTCTATCATCATACGGTGAGCCTAATATAATACTACTTTCATCAGACCGTAATCCTTCATCTGAAACACAATCATATCATTCTTAAAATCAGTGGTGTGACTATAATATAATGTATTGAGTGGGTCCAAACCAGGGTATCCTCTTCCAAATTTTGATTGTCTATCATTTTTGATAACGCACAGAAACTTTACAATTTTTTTGAGATTTTATTTATGATACTTTATCTTGAACTCTATATCACTTTATAGTGTATTTTATACAAAACTTTCTATACTAGAATAAGAAATAAAACCTTAATATAACAGAAAGACCATTCAGATAAACCAGTACATGCTCTAGAAAACACACCGATTTTAACAATTGTGAGTTTAGAGGCTAGATATTCCAGTCTCATCCTGTACAAAAACTAAAATACAAATTGTTTACTAAGTGAATTTCTCAACTATATTCAGTGACATTAAACAGAACATGCCGGTTAAAATTTATTTTTACTGTATAAAATCGCTGTATTACCTATTTTATTGGAACACATTCTATTTTCTGCTGATAAATATAAAATGGCTTGATATAGCATTCCCTGGAACAGAAAAAAATATTATAAAACATTTCTGTATTTATTTTCTTTAACATCAAAAGAGAAAAAATATCCACAGACGGAATCACAGGACTATTGAAAGAACCAAAAAGACAACAAATAAGGTCAGAATTTAGAATATTAAAATAAAATCTGTTGGTTAGATAAGATTTGGACTTCATGCAGTGGACAAATGAACTATATTTTTAAATCTGTTTTAAATCTACGATCCCAAAATTTTGAAAATCGATATCTTTCTTCCTTTTACCATAATGCAAAATTAAGCCAAGTCTTAAAACATTGCATTATCACAAGCTATCAAACGTTTGAATGTAAATTGGGAGATAACTCTGAAATCTGCTATCAAAAGATTTTGAATTTCGATAAGGTTCTTCCTGCAAATGTGAAAACAAATTTGGACAGACTGACAGATGACAGATAACATGACAACAATAAATGTCCACATTGAATTTTAATTTGGGTGTGTAAAAATCATGTTTATTTTCACTATGGTATAGACTTTCAACAAGTTTTTAGAATTTTCTATTGTGTGACACCGGTCTGATTTAATTTTCAAATAAAATAAAATTAATTAGAGAGGATAACATCAGGCCAAATTTGAGTTAAGCTAATTTGGTCTATTGTTATATCCAACACCAAGTCAACTCCAATTCAACCTCATTAATATTTCTAGTCTAAATTACACTATAAATCATCCTTCTTTAGGTTGGATTAGGCTGATTACACCAGGGATGATATTTTTGGTCCAAAACTATGTAACAGTCTTCCCTTTTAATTTATACAATAGACAATCAATATACATTGCTATTTTTAAGAAAGAACGGAAAACCCATTTGTTCATGTACATTTTATGATGCTGTATTTGTTTTAATCATTCATCTTTTAAAATAATATTTTTATTCAGATATTTCATTAATATTTTCTTGTATGTAATGAGCACTGAAGACAACACTACATAATTGTTTTGTAATAATATGTAACACCAAATCAAACCGAAACTTAAAATAACCATTGTATTTGCTGTTTATTCTGGACATTTTGAAGGAATTACATTTATTCATATGGTTTGATTTCAAACTGTTTTATTATACACCTAATTCAATTTAAATTTAACATCCGTCTGCTTTGTGTCAGTTTGAAATACAAACAAGTTTTATTATCCTAATGTCAGATAATAGAGCATGTCAAAGTTCTCTGTTTCTAAAAATAAATAATTGTTGATATCTGTACAATCATAAACAAAGTTCATATTCAGTAGGATACACCTAATGTTTAAAGTGGATTTCCATTTAGTTTTATTACAATGTCATTTATAAGTTTAAAGTTCTTTCAAAAAATGTATTCAATATTAATTGTAATATTTTGTTGAGCTAGCCAAAATTTACCAAGTCCTGTTAAAGGGATATTTCCACATAGTCTAGATGTTTTAAGGATGCAATTTGCATACAAAAGCTGACCTTACATGCTGTCTATCTCTCAATAATAGCACCTCTAAATATGTTTTAGGTTCATAAATAAGGGATGGTCTGTATGATATGTTTAAGTATCCTATAACCTTGATTATCCAGGCAATAATGTTGCCTGTATAATTCGTAAAAATTTACATTAATCATTTTGGTTTTAAAAGTGAAATTTTGAAACACAATTTAGATGGTGAGGAGCTGCTGCTGATGATGAGGATGATTGTAGGCCTACTGTTGAGCTCAATATTAAATTATCTCCTGGTCACCATTGGCAAGTCCCTTTAAATGTTATCTTCAATGTATACCTACGTGTTTGAGAACACACAAAATAATGATTATCATATTGTCACGGTTAAAGGTTAATTGTACAGGTCAGAAAATGTGACTATTACCGTAAGGAAAAGATTTCACAATGCAATACTATTACATTATATAACTTGGATCAAAGCAGTTACACAGTTCAAACTCTCAAAATGGCTAAAACCTATTCACCAACTTTACGATGGACTAATAATGAATTTGAGAAAAGTCCATCTATAGATGTACTTCCAGCCACAGATGAATTTATTTTCACCCTTCAAAACAACAAACTAAGTTATCTGCAGAGAAAGTTTTATGAAGACAATGGTTACCTTGTCATCAAAAATCTGGTTTCTCCTTCAAAATTAGATGTGTACAGTGACAGGTTTGAAAAGATTTGCAGAAAAGAGGTGACTGTGCCATTCCTGACAGTCATGAAAGATATTGCTGTGACTACATCCGAATTTATACCTGGTGAAAAGGCCATAGCCAAAATTCAGAATTTCATCCATGATGAGGTTTTATTTGATTATTGTTGTCTGCCTGAGTTGGTAGAATATGTGGAATGTTTCACAGGACCTGAGATTGAAGCCCGTCATACCATGTTTATTAACAAACCACCAGACACAGGCAGTAAAACATCACGACATCCCATGCACCAAGATCTACATTATTTTCCATTCAGACCCACCAACAGAATCGTCTGTTCATGGACAGCTATTGTGAAAGTGAATAAAGAAAATGGTTGTCTAGTGGTGGCACCAGGAACTCATAAAGGTGAGCTGTTACCACATAGTTATCCTGATTGGGACAATGGTGTCAACAAAATGTACCATGGGATACAAAATTATGATTTGAGTCAACCGAGAATTCATCTGGAAATGGAACCTGGTGATACAGTTTTCTTTCATCCTCTTCTCATACACGGTTCAGGGGTCAACAGAACCCCTCATTTCAGAAAGTCTATATCCTGTCATTATGCAAGTAGCAACTGTTACTATATAGATGTCACATGTACAACTCAAGAAACCATTGCCAATGAAGTCAAACAGTTAGTCAGAAAACGCCTAGGTAATAATGAAATCAATGTTTCATTTGCTGATGTGTGGAAACTGAAAAGTCGAGAAGTGAAAGGTAAAGAAAAGGTACGAGCTATGAGTAGACTTTGATTTCACTAATTTTCATAATATGCCAAATCTGTTATTGTGATCAACAGATATGCCAAATACAAAGTTTGATAACATTACATTTATGCCTACATAAACATGAACCAAAATGGACATTCCTGGATAATTCAGTAAATCTCTATCTTAACAATATCAAGACCTATATTGGATACTGTTAGTGATTTGACAATATTGTGCTGATAAATTGGATAATCAATATTTTTAGTGCCAAATATTCAGGCATGAAATGATGATGTAATTTAAAGGGCATCTTCCATTATCAAGATATTATTGTGCCTGTGATTTAAAAGATAATGTTGGAATAGTCATAAAAACTATCTACAAGTGAGGCAATTAAATTTATGCCATGCCCATTTATTATTGTAATGTTTTGTGAAATTCAACAACTGCTATAATTTTACACTTTTAAAGAGAAATAACACTCTTGATTTCAATGTTAGTAACAGAAACCCCCATAGCAATTGATTACTTGATTAGTAGACATTTCAATCTACTTGGCTTGTATGTGTAGTTCACTTATGAACTTTCACTCTACAAGATTTTTCAAATTGTTCAAGGTCAGACAGAAATCGTGGAAAATCAACACAGGGGGCGGATCCAGGAATTTTTGCAGGGGTGGGTGGGAGTGTCATGTTCTTGAGACAATATATCTCCCCACCCCCCCTCCCGCATGGTCTCTATCGTCATTTTGACGTATATACATACACATTGAGCTTTTTAAACAGAGAAATTCAACACCTCGTTTGACGTCAATTTTTATTATGAATTAATACAATGACATTGTGATTTAATTTCATGGACGCAAAGCATTAATTGTGATATCACATAATGTTTATATCATTATCTCGTGCTTTGAGTGTCCATCCTGTCCCAAATCTGACGATAACGGATAAAGCACACGACCGAGAAACCTTTCTCATAAAAAGTGTTGATTTACCAAAAAGTTTATGTAGCCGAGCAGGGGGGGGGGGGGGTCGACCCCCCCAAACCCCCCCTCTGGATCCGCCCCTGTCAACAGGCTTCTTCATCTCATGAACATAAACACTGTGTAGAAATATCAAGTTAATCAGATGATAACTTTAGCCTCGAGAGTGTCCACAAGATTTTTTAAATTGATCAAGGGTGACAACTCAGAGGGTAATTATGTGATTTGTTGAAAAGAAATGGATTTCTTTTTTGCATGTGTATAAATTTAAAGTCGGATGATAACTTTTGCTTACAGAGCATGCATAACAACCTGGACGGATAAACCGAGTGACCAGCGGATGGGGTGACAATATATGACCACATTTCAATGCAGGCGTATAAAAAGGGTTAGGGTTATCATTATTATTTGTGCCATTTGCATGTGTGCTATTATTATGTTGAAAATGTTTATAAGATACAAAAAGCAGATTTTGTTAAATTAAATTAAGATAGGTTGCCAGGCAACAAAACATACGACCACAGCAGCTAAATCGTCCGGGCAGTCAACAAGAGTTGTCGCATATTTTTACTTTTTTCGGTAATGAAACATTTATAATACACTAAAATCTGATTAAACCTTTCATTGCGTCTACCCGGTAGTACAAGGTATTATTAAATGTCGTTAAAATACGCGTACCCGATATTACTGTGTACTCAGTAAAGCCCTCGCTAAAATTAGTACCGTAACTGCAAGTGCCATCTATTGTATTTTCTATACACTAGAACATATTTCCACGTGTTTCAAAGCGGCAAACTGTAAAATGGCGGAGTGCATAGTGACAACGTAGACGATGCACTCACGACTTCGTCGAGAGTGACGTCTTGCAGACCAACACAAGGACAATTTCGAGGCGGGTGATACACATAATTCGTTTCCAGTTACTAAATAATGATACTAAGAAGGACAGTGATTGGTATTATGAAGTACGTGTGTGATTTGTTGCGCGACGTTCCGCCTATGGCTATGTCTCCCGTGCATGATGAATAAGCCCAATGTGAACACGATAGCCCTGTGTCTGCCGTAGATTCTGACAATAATTCTGATGAAATCCTTATACGGCATTTAGTAACTGAACATATGATATAAAACACAACTTGTTGAAACGTAGTGTGAAATAAACCCAGTGATTGCTTTCCATATAAATTTGTGTTTTATATAATAATTCTGATGTTGATAATAATGCTGACCTGCTGGATCGTAAAGAACGTAGTCAATTCCTGAGTCCCGAACTATAGATCTATTGACTGACTATATTGGTTATGATATCATGATATAGGACTTGGGGATGAAAGTGAAAGTGAAAGTGAAAGTGAAAACAAGGTATTGCAATCTGCACATGGTCATGGCAGCAGGAGACGTGATGCGCGTGTTCATGGTGGCATTGCTCATGGCTGCTATTGATATTTTTGTTCATTTTATATATCTTTATCAAAATCCAGTGAAAAAAACAATATCTCATAAGTATTTCATGGAGAAAAATTTGTTTTCGTGTTAGCTTTAGTGAGAAATGAGAAATCCAAAATGGCCGCCATGACGTCACATGACTACATTATTATGCAAATTTCCAAAATTCTATTTTTTCCACTTAGCCCAACCTCATGCCCATCCCAACAGACAAAAAGATTTTTCATAAAAGCTTCCATAAGTACTGTTTGGCATTCAGTTCCAACCCCCCTTTTTTCCTCAAAAAAGGGTCTAGCACAGGCAGTGGATTTACATCTAGCATTGAAAGGGTTAAGAGTAACAACTCATTAAGTAATCATCAGAAAATCATTAGAATTTGTTTGGGTTTTTTAAAGTTCTGCCCCATGCTAATGTTTAGCATACGAAATATTTAATATCATGGACTATCAAAATTCATTGAAAATCAATATACTTGTTCATCTCAAGACCTTAAATTCTGCGTATCAGTCTGAAGTCAATTGGATGATAACATTAGCCTCTAGAGTGTCACATGATTTGTCAAAGTGATCAAGGGCCATAACTTTGGCAGTAACTATCGGAAATCGTTGAAAATCAATAGGATTCTTTGTCTCATGACCTCAAATACTGCGTATAAATTTAAAGTCAATCAGATATTAACTTTAGCCTCTAGAGCATCCACAAGATATTTTGAAGTGATCAAGGGCCAAAACTTTGGCAGTAATTATTGGAAATCGTTGAAAATCAATAGGATTCTTTGTTTCATGATCTCAAACACTGTGTATAAATTTAAAGTCAATCGGATATCAACTTTGGCCTCTAGAGCGTCCAGAAAATATTTTGAAGTGATCAAGGGCCATAACTCTGGCAGTAATTATCGGAAATCGCTGAAAATCAATAGGCTTCTTCGCCTCAGGACCTTAAACACTGTGTGTAAAATTAACATCAATCGGATTTTAACTTCGGCCTCTGGAGCGTCCAGAAGATATTTTGAAGTGATCAAGGACCATAACTCTGGCAGTAATTATCCGAAATCGCTGAAAATCAATAGGCTTCTTTGTCCCATGTCATTAAACACTGTGTATAAATTTAAAGTCAATCGGACAGACGGATGGACAGGGGCGACGACATTATAGGACCACATTTCAATGTGGGTGTATAAAAACTACACTAACCTTAAAAGATTTTTGTCCATCTGAAGAAACACCAAATAAAATCTCTGAATCATATGTAATCGGTGAAAATCTTTGTTTTAATGTTTTAACAATGTCCTCTCCACAGTCTACTTTCACTATCAGATTAGTGCCATTAATGTAAATTAGAATATTCCTCCATTCCCATACAGGCAAAGCATCTGTTATTGTCACTCTTTGCACAGATTTTTCACCCAAATATTTCACCACTACTTGACGTACGTCTGTCTCTATCCACATTTCCAAATATGGTGCTATATAATTTGGTGAGGAAATTGTTAAAAGCGGAAGAGTTCCATTTCCAAAAAGACTGCCAGATATATAAAGCGTTAATTCCCCTGAAAATTCACTTAAAATAGTGGATGTTTGCTCCACTAATAAATGGTGTCCATAATATTCATCTCCAAACTGTATTCCACTGGGTAATATTCTTTGTACTCCATCATCTGCAGTGAGGCCCTCTAACAAGTTTATACCTACAAGATAGAAGATTGATTTAATAACAGGGCCTACTATGGAATAAATGTTAAACCATTGAGGGAAAATAAACCTTCCTATACTAAACTGTTACATTAAAAGTAATATATATTATATAAAAGGCATTAATTAGATCGAGAGGAGTTCAAAGACACCTCTTCGTACCATTTCTGGGGATGAAAAGGATACTCATTTATTGTTGGGAACCAGGGTGATTTCCGAGGAAGTGCATATTCCTGAAGCAATGGTGAGGGACATTATAGTCAGCTCATTAACCATTGCTAAAATATCTACAGTACTTTCTAATTATGTCAACTTAAAGCTGGGTCAATCATGAAAATAAAACTTCCTTAATTGACACAAATGTGTTTTATGACCGGATATTTTAACTTGCAATTTCTCTGCTATTGTCGCATAGACTGAAATAAACTAGACATGGCTGAAAAGTTGAATCAGTGCGAGTTTGAGTGATGTAATAGAAACATGAAGTAGTAAGCCAATAGTGAGACTGATGTCGCCCACCTCAATCCCCAAATAAACAGATGACACTTATTAATTACAAGTTTCCACATTTATCATTTAAAACCTACAATCCAACTTGCATCACTCTCACTCAATTAGAATCAAAATTACAAATGCATTTACAAATCAAATTGCTCATCTCTGTTGAGCTATGCAGATAATGCTCATCATCGATCTCAGTCAAGGCATTCACCTAATGAACATAATATACACCAAGTTTTACTGAGAGATTGACAAATATGGGGGCAAAAACACCAGAGGATGCATAGAATATTTGCATTTTATTAATTGGAAGGGAAACTTAATGGACCAATGAAAACAATCTCCCATAATCAGTATCTAAATGTGGTAACGTTCAATGAGGTAATCATGCTTATTTCTATTGCTTTAGAAATATTGGCTTCTGTTCTCTGCTTGCAATCAACAATGTATATTACATGTGGAACAGAAACTGAAAAAAATGACATTTGATCTATCCATTCTTTGTTTTCATTTTCTAAATTTGAAATATGGACGTTCACTCATCATGTGCTCTTACTATCGGTAAAGTGAAATACAGTATGTAACTCTAATAAGTTGAAAACCTTTGCATAGAGTGTACTTTGCATAGAGTGTAAATATTTTCTGATATTTTTACACCCAACATAGCAATTTGATATTCAACGATGATATTTTCAGTGTTACTTTGCATAATGAATCTTCAGAGATAATTTTATCGGATTTCAAGGAAATTTATAATTTTCTGTATGGATTTAGCAAGTAAAATGTGACATTAGATCAGTCATAAAACACTATCATGCATAATTAGCTTCAGGGAGTGAAAGGGTTCCAATGTCAGGGTGTATTTTTAGATTCAATCAATTAATCTCCCTAGTCTTAAAGAAGATGAAGTCTCTAACTCAATATTTTCCATAATATTTGAAATTAAAAACACAAATCAAAATTTAATATTGATCAATTTCAATCACTATTGATGTTTTTATCTTACCGTGAAACTATAGGATCCTAATATCCAATATTTAAGACACAAAATTTTATACTATAATCAGTACACGAGTCATGTACCCTATGGTATCGGGCAGTGATGGAATTTCGCCCGTATATTCCAGACATGTCCAAAGCTATTTTCCAAACCTCCAAAATTAATATAGTGTAGTGAGTGTATAACTACCACTCAAACCGATTACCGATGATAATAGACTGGCTTGATCAGATAGTTAAGTGATCAGTGTATTTATCGTGTTATAATCATCTGCCATGATTGACTGACTTAATCCTTTATCGGACAATTCATCAATCTAATCTTAAACAGAAGTCACTGCTTCCCCTTTGTTGGACTATTCATCAATCCAATAGGACTAAGAGTGGTTATAATTTTAATCTACGTGTTTACCTCGTGGTTTCTCGATTGTCAGACATTTTAATCACAGCATACATCAACCGACAGCATGTGTAAACTATTCGTAAGAGTATATAACACACTAAATCACTGGACAGTTATTTTGTCTGCGATATCTTTTATGTCTTTTAAGACTCCATATAGAAATTCTCATCCACAGTGGCACTTTCCCGCAATCTCAACTGCCACACGAAAATTGCTTAGGATAACATATAAGGCAGTGCTTATTATGAAGCTATATGCTATGAGTCACGTACGCCATTCGCCGAAGCTAGCCATGCCTTTTTACGACATTTCGGGTGCCATTTTGTAATGAACAAATAAAATCATATCCACCAAAAACCCACAAGGTTGGACATGCGACCTGCCACGTACATGCGGGGAATCAAAACCATGCCAATTTCACTTGATTCAATGACAGACCTTATGATGCAATGCGCATGCCTTCACCATTCCACCACCCCCTCCCCCCTACATTATGTGCAGAAATACTCGGTTTCCATTTACACTATCAGAATTTTAATCAAATTGCATTTGATTTCTTCTATTACATCAGACATTGATTAATCAATCAGCAT